TTGGCAGTATTTGAGCCTTAGGTGTTTGGCAGACTCTCAGGGCCTGGAGTTTTATTTGAAGAGAGATTTTATATTACTAAATTTCTTTAATGGTTATAGGACTACTTAGGTATTCTATTTCTACTTGAGTCTGAGTTGATAAATTGCTCCACTTAGGAATTTGCCTTTCATTTAAGCTTTCAAAATTATTGACACAAAGTGGCTCAGAATAGCTTCTTATTGCCTTTTAAGATTCTGTAACATCTGTAGGTAGGTCCACTTTTCAGTCCTAAGTTGTTATCTTGTCCTTTTTCACTTCATTTCTTGCTTAATCTTGTCAGTTTTGTCAATTATATTAGTCATTTTAGAGAACCAATTTTTGGCTTTGTTAATTTTCTCCATTATTCATGATTACTATTTTACTCAATTTCTGCTCTTATGCTTATTTCCTCCTACCTTTTAAAAGTTTATTCTGTTGTTTTTACTAACTTCCTAATTTGTATTACTCACAAATTATTTTCACCCTTTTTAAAATAATAGACATTTAAGTTTATAAATTTTAAAGTGTTATTTAAGCTGCATTCCACACATTAAAAATTTTTTTAATTTAGCATTTTTATTGTTCCATTTTTAATATTTTCTATTTTCCATTATAATTTCCTTTTGATCATAAGTTATTTAAAAGCATATTTCTTGAGAGACAACCAGGTGACTGCATAGGTAACAGCGGTACCCCCTGCCTCCCACAACCACATCAAAAGTACAACAAAAATACAGAACCACCATCCTTCAGAACCTCCTTAAATCTAGCTGAACAGAAGCCCTACAACCAGGGAACTGAAAAAGCATCAAGACTGGAAGGAGGGGTGGAAATGTGGGCAGATGGGGGCTGAATCACAGAGAAACGGCTGCAGGCCCACACCCGGTGCTGCAGGTTAAACCTGGGAGGACATCTCGGCAGCGGAGGTTTCCCGGAGGAGCGAGGGGGTCCCAGCACCCCATCAGGGCCCCCAGCCCAGGTCTCCAGGGCCGGGAAGAGAAGTCCCCACAACTTCAAGCTGTGAAAACCAGCGAGGATTGAGGCTGAGGGAGGCGAAGGGTGCAGGAGCCCCAGCAGCTCCTCTTAAAGGGCCCGCACATGGAATTACTCAGAGGTGCTCCCTCTGAGCCCCAGCACTGGGCAGCAGCTTGAAAGGACCTGGGACACTTGGGGAGGAACTAACCTGCCTGAAGTCGGGGCAGGAGGTGGAGGGACAGCTTCCTCCCAGGCAGAAGGGCTGGCAGAGGCCATTGCTCCTTTGGCGAGACCTCCCCGCAAACAACCAGCAGGCAGGTGCCATATTTGAATCGCCAGCACCTGACTCACACCTTTGGCCCCGCCCCTCCCCACCTGCAGGCTCATCCAGGCCATTTCCAGGGGCTTTTCTGTGCAAGTGGCCTCTCGAGCCTCATGCTTAGGACTTTCCTAAAATCTCTCAAACAAGCAGCAGCAGGCCCCATACAGCTTGATAAGTGGCCCCAGGCCTGGCATTAGCAGCAGCCTGCACTGGCTCATAGCTTGGCCTCTCCTGGACACCTCCAAGCCCAGCACAAGTAGCAGCCAACTATGGTTTGTTGTGTAGCTCATTCTGGGTGGCCCTGGGCAGGGCACAGGTAGAGGCTGACTTTGCACCTCCTGGGAGGCCCCAGAGACAGTGCACCCAGTGGTCAGCTTCCGATAACATCAGATTACAACTACCACATTCATGAGTGACACACTCAAGGGGAGGACTTGGTGAACACCAAAGCTCCACTAAAGTAAATCCTGCTCCATAGGGGTGTCTCCAGCACAAAAGCTTTTCAGCTGTAGTTGCAGCTGGTCTTCTCAGCCAGTTGGCTTGGGGGTCAATTCCTCCCATTGATGCCAATAGCAACCAATGCTCAACTACAACAGGAAAGTGCACACAGCCCACACAAGGGAGCACCTAGAAGGCCCAGCTCAGGTGACTGGGGAGGCTGAGCCACTGGACCCTACAGGACACCTACTACACAAAGCCACTCTACAAATGCCAGGAGACATAGCAGCTCTACCTAATACATAGAAACAAACACCTGGAAGCAGCCAAAATGTAGAGGCAAAGAGACATTTCACAAATGAAAAAACAGAAGAAATCTCCAGAAAAGGACCTAATGAAATGGAGCCAAGCAAGTTACTGAAACAGAGTTCAAAACAATGGTTATAAGGATGCTCAAGGATCTTAGTAAGACTATTAAGGAAACTAGTGAGATCATCAATGACATAAAAAAGAACCTGTCAGAAATGAAGGCTACACAAACTGAAATGAAGAATAATTGACAGGGATTCAACAGTAGAGTACAGGATGCTGAGAATCAAATCAGCAATTTGGAACATGAGGAAACAAAAAACATCCAACCAGAAGAGCAAAATGAAAAAAGAATCCAGAAAAATGAAGATAGTATAAGGAGCCTCTAGGACAACTTCAAGAGGCCCAACATTCGTAATATTGGGGTGCCAGGAGAAGAAAGAGAGCAAGAAATTGAAAACCTATTTGAAAAAATGACAGAAAACTTCCCCTACCTGGGGAAAGAAATCGACTTACAAGTCCAGGAAGCACGGAGGGTCCCCAACAAGAGGAACCCAGAGAGGCCCACAACAAGACATAATTAAAATGCCAAAGGTTAAAGACCAAGCGAAAATCTTAAAGGCAGTAAGAGAAAAGCAGTGAGTTATCTACAAGGGAGCTCCCATACGACTGTCAGCTGATTTCTCAACAGAAACTTTGCAGGCCAGAAGGGAGTGGCCAGAAATATTCAAAGTGATGAAAAGCAAGAACCTACAACCAAGATTGCTCTACCCAGCAAAACTGTCATTTAGAATCAAAGGTCAGATAAAGACCTTCCCAGACCAAAAAAAAGCTAAAGGAGTTCATCACCACCAAGCCAGTACTACATGAAATATTAGTGTCTTCTTTAAGAAGAAACTGATGAACAAAAGAATCTGACAAACAAAATGGACCCAGAGACAATGAAGCATGCAACAGACTGATGTATCTCGGAGGGAAGAGGGAAGGGAGGTAGGGGGTGGGAAGAGATTAACCAAAGAAGTTATATGCACATATGCATAACCCCTGGACACAATAATGGGGTGAAGGCCTGGGGAGAGAGTGGGAGCGAGGTGGAGG